GGAGTTTTGTTTTAAGAGAAGAGGTGGCCCTAGTTGTGATGATTGGAATTAGGGAAATATAATCCAAGAATAGGCCTTTGGATTAAATGCATTCATCCCTTGTAATTGAGCCTCGTGGAATGGTACATGGCTGTACCCAAAGCCTCCTAACCTCAAGCACGCCTTATAATTAATCCAGGCCAAGAGCAATATATTGTGCCGTCATATTGTATTAGTCAGTGATTAGCAATTAAGTAAGGATTATTGTGACTGAGAGAGGTACATGTAAGGATGGGTAGTATTAGCAATGAGTGGTGAAAGAGCCAGGGTGCAAAGTATCAACTCAGGGTTTCTGTTTCTAGAGTGTGTCCTTTGAGCTCAGGCCTTACTACCTACCTTATTATGTTGCTCAACAGATGCCTGGCAATGGAGACATTTGGATCAGAGGGAGACTACAGAACAATGTAAAAATAGAAATTGATATAAAAACATTCATACTTCACCTCTGTGCAATGTTCGTGCAAAAAATACTCTTTTAACATTATGCTCACATTCTTGATATATTAAGGCAACCCTGGCATATTTGAGCCTGGTTAGTATGTTGATATGTCTCCATTTTCAGCTGAGCAAATAGATGGGACCATTATTAACTTGCATGTGGGGTTTCACCCCATTTTCAACAGCTTCTGTTGGCAGGAATGTTGATCAGTAGCTCAGCTGGAAACAGAGCTGGACCATAGTGCCAAAAGCATTGCCATTGACCAGAGCATGGGTTAGTGCTTAGTACCAATCCTGTGAAACCAGGCACTCTATCTTTGTGGGATATAAATAATACTAATTAAAGAACATAAATTATAGGGTTTGGACATGGCAAGCACTCAGAAATCTTGCTGCACATATCAGATGATCAAGGATGCAGAACTGCTGGAAACAGATCCAAATTTCTCAATTTAGAAGGGTGTTTTTGTCAGTTTAAAACTCCTAAGCACAATCAGGGCCATGGACATACTCCGTTCGTGTCAAAAAAGATCAAAAAATTAATTTAAGCAGTGCAACCAGTTCACATCAGCCAGTCATTTAAACTGATCTAGACCTCGTCTGTATCTTCATAGCATGACAAGCCGTATTCCTAGATTCCTAGTTCTGCAAGAAAGTTTGCAAGAGGATTGGGTTTGGCTTACTAAGCAGTCTTCACATTATTCGAGTTAGCACAGATCAGTCGTTGGGATTTCCTGTCTCTGCAAATAGGTATGAAATGCAGTGGATTGATCCTTTCACATCTCCAGCCATCTACTTTCATGCTGGTTCACAAGTTCAGGTTGAGCAAGCAAAGGTTCTTGTACACTTCAGGAACTAGTTTAGAGTTTTGAGCAAGAGAAATGTGAAGGAAATTTTTTCCTAATCCTCAAAAATTACAATGGTACTCTGCAACACAGAGGTCTCATTCAGTCATGTTAAAAGGAAGGCACCCCTGCCTATTCCCATGTACCACCGGACAAAGAGCAGCAACATATTTGTGAACATGGGATGGAGGTTGTGGCATACAAAAGTAATTTGAATTCTACAGTACAAATGAAACAACAGTCTGTACAATTCAGCAATTCTAATGTTTGTTACAGTGCATCCAATAGCAGAGTAGGAATTGGAATGAACCAGTCCTAAATGACGTGAAGCTTCAACACCACATCAACTCCTTACGTTGAGATCTGCACCAAGGGGTGCTTCTCAGCAGGACTACATGTCCAAACACTGAGAAACTCGTTAGAGCCAGCTTGACCCGTGATTATGATTCAATTAAATCCACTACTCAAGGATAACTCATGACTCTACTTGCATACTGGAACCCAACAAACCAATTCCATGAGGTCACCAATTATATATATATATTACAGAACACTTGGTGGCAGGCGACAGTACAGCTAACTCTCTCATGAACAGTCAGCATCATATTCCGTGACTCTTCAAGAAGTAGAGACGACTGCATGGATACTGTGTGTACATATAGTTTCTTGATCCTATATCCTCGTATTTGTCAGAAATACTGCAAACCGTTAGGTGCTTTCGAGAGGGATCCAGTAACTCGTCACATTCAAACACAAAAGTTGACGCTCATTCAAGTCGTAGAGAACCGCACACAAAAAGAAAGGAAAAAGGTCGACACCTGACTTGATTACTTCTCTTTAGATCAATATCTCACTGATTCAGAATGGTTTCAACATGCCTATCATCAGGTTTCCTAAATCTCAAGTCTGTACATAACACGAGTTTGAAAACATTATTCAACTTTTAAAATGCACATGAACACTGACCCGAACGTAGCCATTTAGAGGAAACCATATCTCATCCAGCTCGTTCAGTTTGAACGGTACATTTCTAGTTAATCCAAGAGACTGCAATGCATGAAACACCAAGATCCAGATGCTTATGTATCTTTATGATACAAATCAGGTACGCAGTATTTTATTCGGATGGTATGAAGTTCCGGGATTCAGCATGTTTAGAGAAAGCTTCAACATTAAGAGTGCTGGATGACGCATTGACAATCACTATACTTGGTTGAGAAGGAGCTATTTGTGATTTTACGAATGGAGTTTCAAGTGGGTTTTGGTGCCGGGAGAGGAAGGGGAATAAAATGAGGAATGGCGAGGGCATCACAGAGTTGGAGGTCTTGGTGGCGCAGCGGCACTATGGCTCCCAGTACCTCTGTAGCAGTTCTCTTATCCTCTCTTCTTAGAGAATCAAAGCTCAAGGACCATCGTCTTCATTGGCACTCTTTTTATGCGTCTCGCCAGGACGTCACCAGTCCGACTTCTGGATTACGGTTGAAATTATCATTGATTTAGCAAGTTTTCGAGCAACCAATCTTCACACATGTCGCATCCTTGAATCGTGAGTGATCGGACTTGTTATTACCAATTGGCTTTTGCTCCAGTAGTTCTGTAATCTTAGGGCAATGCAAATTTCATGCAAATGCGGCATAATTTGCATCCTAGTGCAGTGCTCACATGTGACTGCATGTCATGTCAATCAGGTTATCGGGGGGTGATGCTGCAGAGATCAATAAATTTTAGTGGGCTTACGGGAAAATTTGTTGTTCCTTCGGGGACAGGTAGATGTCTTGAAAATTCTGCTTCTGTGAGTTGTACGACGTCTTGCTTCTGCAGCTAGGATTAAGTTCATATGATTTAAAGGTAGTTAATCCATCTGTTCAAGAGCTGGTACCTTGCAGAGATAATTATCTGAAAAAGCGGATGTTCGAAGGTCCGGCTCTGGTGCTTATATTGTCAGGTTGATTAAGTCCTGGTTATTAATGCATGTTGTGTATAATCTTCTCATACTTTGATGAACTATCATTGAATGCTGACGTGACTTCGGTGCTCAGCAATTATCATTGAAATTGAGACGTGTTTAAGTATATTTCTGGCCTCACAGGTACTGCCCAGTGTCTGGGGTCCTCATTCAAAGGTTTTGGTAAAAAGATTACGTTAGGACTTGTGGAGACAAGTAGTATTGTTGAGGGACTTTGGAAAGCCTCAGAGTTGAGGTCATAGGCATGTTCTGTTAACTTTTCAAACTTTTACTGTAATAAAAAATTATCCATCGTTCTCTGGTGTTATTGAGACTGATTTCGAAGCATATTATCCTATTATGCACTACACATGTTGAGTTCTTGAAATCTTTGTAACGATGAGTTAGCACCATGGGTTTTGATGCGAGATAGAGTTCACAAGTTGCCTATTAATAAGGTTCTCTTGATTGTTGAGGAGTACAGCGATTTTGTGTCCTGCTAGCACTTTCAGAAGATTTTGGACTTTTCTCATTCTAATCTGAGTTGGAAACTTCATCCAGAAAGTTAAGTATTTCTCATTCTACTTGATGTGTTAGATTGTTCCTAATCACATCTGAAAGTTGAACAGGTCACAAGAAGACAAGCAGGCTTGCAATTACTTCCGGTTGCTTTCGAGGGATCTGGCGGTGGAGGGCTCCTTCCCGCTAATGTAGGAGCTATTCGCATGCTTTTTAAAGTTGGAGTAAATGTTAAGTTGAAAGCTTACAGGACTGCTGTAGCTGGGTATCTTCGACCAGTAGCCATGACTGGTGGACCTGGCGTAGGATCTTGTGGTTTTGAATCTTGTATCAACCATTGCTTGAAGGTACCCATCGGACTGAGACGTTGGTACCTTCATCGTACATTGATGTTTCTTTCAGAATCAATTCAAAGGAAATTTACAGTTTGATGAAGACATTTGTTTCAAGCAGGGGCTGGAATATGTTTTCCAAATAGTTTGGGGAGATTTTTAGTCGCATCGCTTATGTGATGTTTGTATATGCTTGTTTTGTATAGTTGGGGGTATTGAAGTTAATGGTTGTTTTAAGTGGGGACGTAGTGTACGTTCACGTACTGACTCATTACTTCGCACATCCTGGATGAATCTACGACCTTATTTTTTTCTCAAAAGTCAAAAACTGCTGATTGAAGTCTTTTAATATTATAGTGATTCAATCAAGTCTTTGACTTGTGTTACACCATGTTAATCTCTAAGTTGAGCTTTCCTCAATCATTTGTGTTACACAATGTTGATTGTAGTTTTGATAGAAGTCAATTAAAGCAAAGTTCATTCTCATTTCACAGAAGGCATAACTTTTTGTAAACAATTATTACGATTGTTGACAAAGAGCAACTCATTATTATTTTTAGGAGAATGTTAAATAGATCCATGTTTTTACTAGATTGACCCACCCTTAATGAAGAATATGGTAATCATGATAAATGTGGTTGGTTTTCATTGGTTGTAGATCCAATATAGATAAACAAATCTAGAGTTTTTTTTTTTTTTTTTTTTTTTTTTTTTTGTCATGATAGTTAAGATTAGTGGGTCAAAAAGATGTAAAAAAAAATCATAAAATTAAATTTTGCAATTTTTCAAAATGCTTCTTCTGTTACTTGGATTATTTAACTCTGACAAATAAACCTCTCGTTAGTACGTCACCTTTCCACTCAGTCACAAAAGGGAGAGCGATTAAGAAGCCAAAAAACATAAGCTGATAATTTGCAGGAAACGAAAGTGATTAACGCCGTGACACATTCAATACCTATTGGAAAATGTAGAAATTGAGCCCCTGATACCATGGATGGTGCAAAGGACACTAATGAACCTTATGATCTGCTGGTAAGCGCTACATGAGACAAAACATCACATTACGCTACGAAGGTGGTAAATGCATAGCTGAATGACACTTGATTGGTTTAATACCAACATTATTGGGAATCCTCGAGCAATTTCTTGACCATAATATGTTGTTGCGTGGGAGATAAAAACTCCGCATTTTGAATTGCATTGGAGACAGTAATGATTGTGGCAACTTTAGGCGCATTGACCTGCAAAGAATGCAAGTCCCTATCAGTGAGCGGCATGTTGCAAATTAACATAACCCTTCCGTCAATAACTTGATCATCAGAAGTCATATAATACTCGCAACCCGCACATAAGAAACCACAGGAAAATCCTCATGATCTCAACAATGAACATATTTCTCATGATATGCATTTAAAGAATTGAAGACTAGAGCTATCTATGTTGAGTTTTAATGTAAAACCAATAAGGGAAAATACATAGTTTCAAAGAAAAAATAAAAGAAAAAAAATAGAAAGGCTCTCTGCGGCATCAAAACTATGTTACTTTCTTCGTAATTACCAGGACAAATCCAAGGCCAATAGAGAGAGAATTACCCAAACACGACCATTCAAACCTACAGCAATCTCGAAAGATAGACTTTTGCCGAGAACTTCCAAGACTGGAGGAGTTGGCTTACTCAACAATCTGTCACCATTAAAACCACATAAAGTTTAAAATTTAGTCCTTTCTGAAGAGTATAAGATAACTCAATCCCGAAATAGATCATTCACAAAAGATAAAAGATCAGATAAAAAATCTTACCCTCGTGCCAATCCTGTGCTGCAGTCAAAAATGAAACCTCCCTTTAAAGGCCCAAAGCCCGCAGATTTACCAGCGGCTGCAATTAACCAAAAGTTTTAAAATGATGTCTATCAATCTTATAAGTCACCGAGTTGCATCTCAATAAAGCGGTTAAGTTTTCAGCGATCTCAACCTTACTTGCTGTGACTTAGTCCTCAATGATGATTTTACAACAAGCAAGCTTCGCAAATTGAATATGATTCAGAACTACATCCGCCTCCTCCAACTTGTCAGACTCAAATGTTAACATCCGCAGTTCTGACATTATTCTAAGAGACATTTCCAAGAGGAAACAAAAAAAATATGAATATGCTCAAGTGACATCAAAATTCACAGTTCCTCACCATCAGTACAAGAAAGTTCAGGATCGCTGTCCCTATGGGCATTCACAACGCGAGCATAAACAGCTGCTCCTATCTGTGTTCAGACAGACGATGAAAGACATAAGAAGCTACGTCCTATCTGTATATCGAGAAATCAAAAACACTAATCGACAGAAGAAAATCTAACCAAGTGCCAAGACATGAGATGTAAAACAGAGAGCGCGACAAACTTCAGATCTAGAAAGCATTTGAGCACTAATACTACAATCCAGCTTTCAAAACACGAAGAAGTCAAAGCTGACCTGCCTGAAGATTAGGAATGTTACGGCGGGTGGCTCCCTCAAAGGCTAGAATAGGAAGTGAACCAAATGCAGGACCACCAATATCTAGTATGAACATCTGCACAAGGAAGTAGAATCAAATAAAAATTACCAAGCGAAACATCCGCCTTAACATCAAAATATCTCCTTCTCCTGGCAGAAACATTACCATTATATGACAAGAAAAAATCACAAAACCCATCAAGAAGAATGCTGAAACAAAGTAAACCCGGAAGGCTGGATCTAACCTCGGACCGCCGATCCACCATGATACCTACCACCGTATCTTCCACGTTGGGAATGTACTGCATTCTCAACAATTGCATTCAGTAGTATATTGTGCAACAATAGCCAAAGCGATACCAAGTCTTGAACTCTTAGCAACAATGGAGCCTGCATATCCGAATCAAGCACATGTAAAATCACATACCCGTTTCTGGGAACCTTCCACCCAATATTTGTTGCTTTGCTTTTGAAACCGTAGTTTGCCCGCTTTTGTTGCCAAAATGCTGTCTCCATCCTGCCATACCCAACAGGGCACATTCCCAATCCGCCAAGCCGACGTGTTTAGATCGAACGGTCTCTATACCTTAATTCAAATATGCAAAAAAATTCATGTTTCTCCTTCCTCATAAGATTTAGCTCGACCTACCAGTATTACAGGGACCATTCCACTGCGTCTCACGATGATGGAACAAAAATTTTAAACAAGCGCCTATTGTCGTCTTTCATCTTACTACTACAGGCAAAGTACAAAAAATAATAACCTGCCGCAATCCACTTCCAACTCGCAAAACTTTGTTGGTACTGTTGAGGTCCAGCACTATATCACCGGGAGCCTGTCCACGTAAGCCGTTTAACGTCGTCAGGTTGGGGCACATTCTCACCATAAATGCATGATACGACGCGTGTTAAGCCCTAACCTCAAACTAAAGCTTGAGTAACGTGACATACTTGTCTTAATACGACAAAACAAATTCGTGTAGTTGAATCTAGGCATTGCTCCGCAAGTCGCTGGCCTCGTCAAAATCTAGAATGATTTCAATGGAGAAGAATCTAACCAGCACTTTTGAGACGAATGGTGAGACACCAGTAGGACCAACCCCAGCAGCTGCAACCGCACCATCATCAGTCCCCTCGACCTTCATCCTCTGAACTGGAAACACACTGAAAGGAAGAAAAGAAAAGAAAAAGTAAAACCTCAGAAAACTTGCTAATGCAAATATTTGGTCCAACTCTGACCCAGAAAAAATTCCCTGCGCCACGCAAGACAAACTATCAACCTAATAGCTCTCTCAATCTCTAAAAACGAATTGTTTGGACATTTATCTAACTTAGATGTATGGAAAACAATATTCATGATAGCAACAAATGAAGTGAAGTGGCTGTTTTTCTCTCGCATCATTAATCCAACACATCACTCAAAACTTGCACCGTTCATTGGAAGGACAAGTCGATTCTGCCAGACTGCTGCGGGCTTCACTCTCTAACCAAACTGACATCTGCGACACTGTACAGCTCAATTCTCTCACACGTTTCCTTATCAGCTCGATCTTCTCGGTAACACTGTCATTGAACCACGACTACCATCATCATCAAAACCCTAAACCCTACACATTAGCTTCAGCTAGTCGTGTGCTTCAGTTCGACAAACGCCTATACAATTCACAAACCCGTCCTACAATAAAATCAAAAAATAAACAAATAAATAAATAAAATGCCATGAAAATCACACTCCTCTCTCTCTCTCAATTAAAAAACACAACAACTCAAAGAGACAACACGAAATAACACCAACACAAGTGCAGCATTGGAAACATCACCTGGCGACGATTCTGTGTCTGAAAACTGGGAACTCAAATGGCAGAAGACACCTCGAAAACAGAAACGGAATGCGAAGGTCGCATTGGCTTCGTCCGCAACAGATTGCAGTCCCCCCTTCTGCGAGCTCGCTCCACAACGATCGTTGAAGCACGTCCTGCAGCAGAGCCTACGACGACGACGAAGAGGACGAGAGCGAAGAAGAGGAGGAGCTTGAATGGATGAATGGATGGATGGATGGATAGATGGATGATTGGGAAACCCTAATTTACGAAGAAGGACTCTATTTGTGGCCTCCCCTTGTTTCAATACTCTCTCTCTCTTTCTCTATGCGCTTATTCTTTTTATTGTAGTAAGGGAGGATGGTTTTATGAGAGTGGGGGCAATGAGGAGATTAACAAGAGAAAAACTTATTTGGGGATAAAAAGGAATTCTTGTTTGTGTGTACATTTTGAGAGAGTATTAATTGAAAAGTTAATGTGAGGAAATAGTGTTTTAAATATTATATTAAGTTTGTAGTTAGTGGGTGATTGGATGTTTGTAATAATTCTTTATCACATTTGTTTCTATATTTAGTAGTTTGTGGTTTTGTTGATTTGATATTGCTTCATTGACTTCTAAAGTATATGGTGAATGTATTCTTATATGAGATTTGTGTTGTTCTTTATTTTGTTGTGAATTTTTTTAAAAAATAAAATAAATTTATTTATACTAATCTTATTTTATTATGTTCTATTCTGAATATCAAATATGTAATTTTAAAAAAAAAAAAAATTAAAAAATATTGCATTGAATTCATAATGTTTTGAAAACACATCACATTTATATAAAATTTAAGTGTTACTATCATTAAGTATTATAAATAATTATGCATGTAATTGTTTTAGTAAAATATGAATATCTATATATATAGATATATATAGAGAAATATTATTATATATGACTAAACATTAATTCTTTTTTGTTAAAAATGACATTTTAAAATTTAGCCACCTTTGCAATCAACACAATTTCATTCAATATCAAGTTTATCCAACAGTGACATTGGGTATCAAGTTTATTATTAAAATCACCATTAAAATCTAAATAGATTTTAAAATCATTCTAATAATTTTAATCAATTATTGATTTTAATATATTTTATTATATTATAAATTTTAATTATTTTTATTTTTATTTTTATTTATTAATACACTTATTTATTAAATTTTATGTTAAAAGCTTTAAAATGACAGTATTCTTATAATTTGATTAGTATTTCTAAAAAATAAAATACTATACAAAATACTAAGGCGTTTTAATATTGTAGAAATATATTCTAAAAAATAATAATAATAAAGATAAAAATAAAAATTATATTTAAGGATAAATTTCTTTATCATCCATAAATATAAAGTATATGCATGAAGTATTTAAGTTTCAAAATTTTGCTTTCAAAACTTCACAAACTTTTGTGTAGTCTTATTTTTAATTTAAATATTAGATTAGATTAAAATAAATCTCATATAATATAATTATTATATAACTACTAGAGTACAATGATACCAATGCATATTAAAAATTTTACAACAATACATCTTATATATATGTAAAAAATACTTTAACACAAATAGAACAATATACAATAAGAAAGGACAATATATTTTGTTAGATGGTGGAATTATATGTTTTTAATAATTTTGGCATGATTCTTAAGTATTTTATCAAATAGCTATTACATATATATATAAAGGTTGTTTTATTTAAAAAATATTAAATGAAAATATAATTTTATTGAGAAATATTACAATTATTAACAAATAGATTAGTAGAAAATAGTTTTTGGATTGTCTAATAGGAGAAGAAAATAATAATAATAATAATAATAATAATAATAATAATTGTAATATTTCTACTAATCTATTTGTTAATAATTGTAATATAATAGATTGTCTAATAGAAGAAGAAGGAAAAAAAAAAAAAAAAAAAAAAAAAAAAAAACTCCATTGATACCATAAAGAATACAACTTGCTAGATAAACAACAAAAAAAAGATAGTGCATTATTTAAAAATATATAGAAATTTAAAGCATCAAAAATAGATTTAAAAAGTCATGGGCTCTATTTAAATCTACATTCTAAAGTTATCTTCTTCCAATTATGAAAAGAAGTTTTCTTATGAATAAAGTAAAAGATGATAAAGGCATATATATGTCATACTTGAAGGGAATCAAACTCAAAGGTCATAAAAAACATCAGCAACTCCTTCATTCACCTTCCTTTCACATGCCCACTATTGCTAACTACCGATCAAGAAAAAACATCAAATATCGTTACCTTAAGAATATTGGGTTTGTGTGGTGAAGGATGATGCAAGGACCATAAATTGAAATTGATGGTCACAAATGCTCTCAAAATGCAACGATTATACCTTGGCAACTAAAAAAATGGGTTTTTTCTGGTATTGATGAACCACAACTCTGGTTTTTTCTGCATGCCTGGTGAAACTCGTCATTCTGGGACGGTTTTGTAAAAGAGCAATGAGTTTCATTCAGCTCCTGAAACTTCAAGGCTTCGTTAATGTACATCAACCTGTCAAGCTCTGGGTCGTTACATCCATAAGAGAGCTCAAAGTGCTCCTACCAGCTTACAAACTAGCGAGAGGAAGTCGTTGCATATAGAGTTGCTGCTGTATTCTGTACAGTGAGTCTGAGGAAGTTAGTTCATCCAGTAAGTCCTGAAAGAACATATCCTCTCTTACAGTTAAGAACAACTTTTTTCAAAACGCAGAAATTGTCTTGCAGACGTCCAAGCTGCTGGAAGCTCTTGACAGGTGAAACCCAGACTTGGTCTATGTTTTCTTGGTCGAAATCATAGTCCTGCGAATTAGGAACACAACAGCCAGTCAGCATAACCCCTTGACTGCAACCCTTTCATACAATGTAATGTTAGTTGCTTCAATAAATTCCGCGAAGCTCTTCTGTCTGGAAACAATGTAATACTTGGGAACCTCATATAGATTTTAGATCTTCAAAATAAGGATTAGAACAAACTAAATGGATGCAATTACTTCGCAGTTTTTAGTAGTAGGGACAAGATGCGCACCAGGCTTGGCGGCATCGCACAGCTTCCTTGCGAACAACTCGCTTTTTATCATCCAAAGCAGCTGACAACGCTTTGAGTACCTACAAATTTTATAAATAAAAATAAGAACATGAAAAATGAACATTGCTCATTGGTCGATTACAATATAGTGAGCTACGTTGTCTATCCGTCCCGATGAAACAGATTGCATATCCCTTCCCGAAAACTGTTTAGGTGGAGTACATATGAGAGAAGAAACATGAAAATAGGCATATTTCATTGTGATTACTCTACGTGGAACATCTGGAGAATAATTTTCTACTAACCTCTCTCCGCAAGGGGTACACTCGATTATAAGGCAGACCAACTACAGCTCCCAAGCATTGAAGAGCTGTTTCTCGAACAATCTGCGCAACAAATTCACACATGGATTATGCGAAACGAGAGGACAATCTCACACCAACGTGATGATTTCTAATTTCATTATAGGGCCCAAGTACACATCATGCATTTAACTAAGTCTGATGAACATAACTAACAAAGGAAACAAATGAAGACAATGGATACTAGGCATATGCATTAAGTCTTTAAGAACTTACAACCGAGTGCTGGTACTGAATCAAGATTAGCAATCGCTTCACAATGCTGGATACATGCTCCCCCACTACTGGTCTCCCTGAATAAATAATAGTTGGACAGCATGTCATAAGTCAGATGTCATAGTTGAACAAATAAACCTATGAGGATTTGACCTTATGCTAAACTACTGCTAAAGCCAGCTATCAGAAATGAAATAAAAGTATACCGGGAAAACACTCGCAAGTCAAAATCCCACCTTGATTTTCGTCTACAAGAAATGAAGAGAGTGCCAGCAAAGTAGAAAGTAAGATATCCGAGTCGCTTCGATCTGAGCACAAGAATGAAAGAGTTCCCAAAATAACAGGAAAAACCTGCACTACCAAATAACAATTGTAATTCACTGAACAGAATAATACTTTATACATTCAAGGAAGAGATTTACAAACCGCCCCTGTTTGGAATAAATGCTGAAACACAATCCAATGGACATAAAACTCGACGCAGACTGCACTTCCATTCAACTCTTCCTGTATGTACACTAACCTTTGCTCCGTCAGCCAGCAATGCAACATGAGGAGTGCCAGATATTAGGTGCCCTATCCCTCTATACAGCCACAACCTGCATCCACAGCAGCTAATCATATTAGAGAAAATTGCAAAATTGAACGTTCTGATACGACTGCTTAAGGATCGTGGTAGTGCAAAAATACGCAACGAAACATCCATACATTTTCCAAGTATCCCTTGAATAAAAGTATAAGAATATGCTAAGAAACGGCCAACGTCATGCAACACAATATTTCTTAAGCCAAATGTATTACTTTGTTTGGGTTTCACTCGATGAACGCACAGCCTCTAAAAGCGGTAATAACATGCTGCTAAAGAAACGCTGCTTGAACAATGGCCGAACGACAGCATGATGTGTTTTATTTAAGCAAACATCTGATTCTTTTAAGATAATCCCAAGACCCTCAGCTGCAGCCGTCGCTAAGCTGGATTCTTCTCCTTCCTGCCACATACCGTCATGTGCGTGAGTAAATGTTTGGCATAAGCAAAGACTCGACCCATATATGGATTCTATCAGGTGGCTCTATAACCCATATATAACTTTGAAAAATTTGATGACAAAGTTTTGTTATTGGTTTTGATGGTATGATGGAATCAAATTTGTGAGGAATTGTGCTGCAGTGACAAACCTCGGAGGTTCCTGACAACAATAGCTTCAGTAGCACAGAAGCCACAACAGAAACTCCACTATGACCTCTCATGGCTAAACCTTTTCCAATCCATGCAGCTGCACGGACTCCTGAAACCTTTTGGCGGACAGATTTACAAGGAAAATCTTTCCCTTTATCAATTTCTGCCGAACTCTCCAGTCTGGACTTGGGTACAATCTGAGATAAAAAGTCCTCATCCAATACCATATGGACAGCTTTCTCCAGGGTAAAACCACCATCCTAAGATCAGGACAAAGTCCAAAAGATTTAGAACAAGAGGCATTAGTCACTTGAGGTGGATTCACAAGTACAATACTATTGCAAATCTCAAGGTGAGTATCCTACTGGATTCATTTACTTGATGAAAGAGAAGCCGTTAAGTATAGATGTCGGACCTCATCTGTAGATACAGCCCACTTGTTTAACATCGATGCTACGGCCTGAGCAGCTGTCTCAGTGATAAGGAAAGCCTTGTCAGATTGGGCAGCACGCATCATCATAGTTAAAAGTGACTGCTTGTTAGGAACTACTGCAGTAGCCCTTACTGAAACGATTACTGAAGCAACTAGAGCAATGGTCCAATCCATTTCCTCTTCATGATGTCGAGTCGTGTCAAATAAAAGCTGTGCTCCATGTTGAAGAATTCTACTTTGTGCTGAAGCATCAAACTTCACAACTGCTACACGCATAACTTTCGAACTCCATTCTAGGACCTGCGCACGAACATCACAATATAAAAAGTAAACAAACTGTACTAAAACGGAAAAACTCACTACACCAGCAGCATGTGTTCCCTAAAAAGTTACATCTATTAGCTCAGACTAGTGGACACTTCTAAATGATGTCAAAAATACTTGTGACTCTGTACCAATACCATGAAAAGAGGTCAATTGCCTTACACTTTGATTACACCTAAAGGCTTGGGTAGATACGACTGCCCAAATCTCCGTGGTTAGTTCCGTCATAACAGACTGATTTGCGCTTAAATCATCGCACCTGACCAATAAAGTTTCAAGGATTAGACTGCATGATTTCGAGGCCCTCAAGTCATCCATAACCCATCCTAAGCCTAACTTGTAGGGATTCATATGTTACACCTACAGCACGAGAGACAGGTACAGTAACGCCTGCACTGTCCAACAACTTCTTGAAACATAGTAAGTGCAACAAATGTTTAGAAAATATGTTGTTCCAAGTGACACGAAGTACTAGAATAAATAGCAGAAACGACTCACCAAGGAAGTATATCTTCTGAAATGCATCGCAAGACACCCACCAGCTTGGTGGAAACGTCGTCTACATCTTCCCTCACCTAATTCAATGAACCACAAAATAATGATCATTATGAAGTCACCTACACCAATCAAAGTTAAAACATCAGCATTTCAACTCCAACATAACATAGTAATCAAGATCCTTACATTAGCCCGCGAGATGCCGAGATGGATACTTTCAGTGAGGTTCTTAATCACCAATGGACGAGCGCCTGATCTTGACCCACAGATTTTTGCAAGTACCCTGAGTGGTTTTCCCACTTCAGTACCTGACTTGGCTTCTCGAACTGCTCCCAACAAGTCTGGAACAACAACCGTCAATACTCCAACATTCCCTTCATCCACTGCTCCTGACCGCTCCTCCACGTTATTGATATTCTCTAAAGCTATAAGAACAATATCCAACAATTCTTGATTGATGTCGCCAATCAAAAGATCTTTGAAGATCAACAGGATCCTTCTCAACTGGTCACTAGACACTGGAGAAAGAGACGCAGGGAACGACGCCAGAGCTTGCAATCCCGAAACTGCACAAATTCAATGCATTTGGTTTTAGGTCTTAATACAACCAGCATTTTTGCCAACATGTACATTGTGATCATTCGTTAGAGGAATTTCTGCACTTGTCAAGTAAGAGTAGATAGATAGTCAGAACTGACAAACATCAGCAAATAGCTTTCAGCAGGTCTCGGAGATACAAGAAAACAGCTACTGACAAAATTCTACCTCCAAGCACTGCTGAGTCTCTTGATAGTTCGTCGGTAATGGCTTTATGAAATGCAGTTAAGAGATTTTCAGCTTGCTCTTGTAGTGGGTCCAGCCACTCTTTTGGAGTCATTGCTAATGACTGACCACGCTCCTGAAAACACTTTTCCGCCAAGTTTCTAGCAGCAATGACTATTTGAAGCACGACTCCCAATCCAATAACACTCTTGAAATTATCCAGATTTGGATTTGTACCCGCTTGTGCTTCTGATGCAGCAGCAGCAACTATTTCAGGAGTCGCATTGGACACTATGGACAATCCAGTAGCAGTCATGAGACGATTAAGCACTTGCCTGCAGACTACAAAACATGAAGATGGGGAAGCTTGAGCTGATTCTGCAAGAATGTGACCAGCTCCTTCAGCTTGCTGTATAGCACGATCCTTCATGAGAGACTGTGTGTGTCCTCGACTCACAGTGTCATTCTTCAAACATGTAACGAGGTCCTCCACAAGCCCGTCTTGTAGAATCAACTGCAAGAAATCTCCTGCCTTCATAATTCCAGAATCTCTCATGGAAAGAAGGGAGGAATCATTTTCAATTTGGGAAGCCAACACCCAACTTCTTAAGCAACTTAAAGCTTCTTTAACAATCTCCACATCTTGAGGTTCTTCTGATGGCATCGATGGCGGAAGAAGTTCTGCTTTCAAAGCATCCCAAACAGCAACAGTATATTCTTTCAAAGCTTTGGCTCCGTATGCGAGTCCACAGTGACCAAGGTAATTAAGAGCGTCCAGCTACAAAAAGGAAGAAAGCCAGATAAATGAATAGAAAACCATTCACTGAGATAATAAAACAGCCAATTAAAAACAGACAGGACCAATTATACAGAAACCCAATGCATGTCTACATGCTTATACGAGGATCAGCGTGCACCTACCTTTGCCCTTCGGAGGCTAGACGAAAGCTTTTCTAGGAGCAGGGGGATGCAATATGGAGCGAAAATTGGCGTACAAGCAAAGGTCGCCTACTCATCAATCACGCAAACATTACCTCTTAGAAGCCGTAAAGTCAAAGAACATGATTTGAACCAACAAATTCAAAATAGCAGATATGCCTCTGTTTTCCGCCATTGAAATTGACTTAGACTGTCAGTTCACAATGTGAAGTAAGATTTATCTTTGAGAAACTTTAAATAAGGAGCCATCAAAAACTGAAATTTTAATTGTGTTATGAAATTGAAACGAAGTGCAAATAATAGCTTACTATAAGACGCATTAGGACAGAAATACGAATAAAAACACAACATTAAATGTCCAACATTGACAAAAAGTTCGTGTGAATATGCGGCACAGGAACGATTAGCTTTTTATCTACTTCGGGAATCGAGTGCCATAGTAAAGGGCAGATCATGAGTCTTATTACTAAGACTTCTATACGACTAAACACGAAAACATAGAAAATATGTACCTTGAGCGAATTTGCCAGATCCTCTCTTGTGATGTCATCCGGAGAATCTGGTCGCTGTAATCGAAGATGCATCATAGGATGGCAGAGTCAGTGGCACCAACAACAACAATAACAAACAAACAAAACAAAAACAAAACAAAAACATGATCACAAGCTATCAATTAAAAGATGTCTTAGTCTGATCAACATTGCAACTGCCAGTAAAATCTTTGGTAATCGACCGACTCAACTATAGATCTGCTTGGTGTGCTCACTACAGGACGTGAACGCGTGAGTATTAAAGTAAAGTTAACTTATAAAGATGCTTACGGGATTGAAAGAAATGGGAAAGTATCGGCTGACAACATCAAAAAGCTCTTCTGCACAAGAAGCGACTGGCCCCTCGGGATCTGGGTAAAGTTTAGCCAGCAGTCGTGTGATCCGGAAAGCTAATAATAAACATCTCGGGTCTTTCTCTTCTTCAACAGCCGCAACAACACCAAACACGAGATCGTCTTTCTGTATCCCAGGTATAATAAAGCGTATGAAGTTGCATATAGGCGTCCAAAACTCAAAGTGAAAGCTGTTGCCAAATCCAGAGGACTTAATTGAACCCAAAGATCTTAAAAAATTAAAGGTAAATTCAGAAAGGAGAGGTCATACTAGTTAAAATAGCAAACCGTACCAGTGGGGTAACTGCACCTGCATGCTTCTCCAATAGACATTCAAATAGCTCCAAACAGAGCTAAATTCAGACAGAAAATAGTCAGTCCAATTAAAATTTGAATATGCAGCCATTAAGTTAAGAATTTGAAGAAATGTCTGTATCTCCTGATAACTAGCTCAACACCTAATGTCTAGATTATAAGCAAAACGACATGATGAACAAAAGATACGTAACATATTCTAGGAAAACCAATAAAAAGAATTCAGAAACTCCTAGTATTCACAAAGCCTACATCGGTATCAGAGTTGACTTTGAAATGACTGAAAAAGCTCATTAAGAGGCTTCATTTGCAGCAACATTGCAGAAGCTAAGATTTACCATGCGGTCCTTTCGAGCTAGAGCCTGCACGTGAAGATTCGTTAGAGCAGATTTAGCCACCTCCCTTGCATCCTCTACCTCCACGGTTCCCGCATTTGATCTCCTTCTCAGCAGACTAAGAGAACCAAGGACCGCACCTTGCAAACAATGCCAGTCACCCTGAGCAGAAATGGTGAATGATAAGATGTGCTAATTCCACGAGTAGTAAGAACAGATTTGTGAAAGAAGAATTAGCGCTTACTAGTGCGGAAGAAGTAGCAGAATCATGACAAACCCACCAAAATAATGAACTTCCTAAAGCAAAAGCATGCCTAGCAGAAGGGATCAGCGCTTACAAGTCTTGCACTGTAGAAGTTGGTTAGACTTTTTATGGCTGTGTCCTCAAGTCGCTTTCCTGATAGATCAGCAAGAATGTCTGAAAGAAGCAAAGTACCTGCAATCAAACCAAGGCAACTAGTTCTCAAGCCCTTCATTGTCCCAAGTATAAAAGCAAAAAAAAAAAGAACAAAGAGTCTTCTTGGTATCTAATACCGCTAACATATTCGACATACGACTTAGTAAAACACCTTGAAAAGGTAGAGATTGGTCGAGTGTAGAGCTTGTAACCGTCATCCAAGACAAAGGTGGTCGAATAAGTTGTCATTTAACTGTGGGCGATGTCATCTACAAGCTAAAAAAACAGTCTAACGCAATACAAAAACTTCGTTTTTGCTCTTGCTAAGAATCCTCCTCTGAAATCATTTCACAAATAAAGAACAAAGCGATAGGTGCATACCTCGATGTCTGACTATGTTGTCAGTTGTAGTCAAATATGCTCCAAGTGTGAGAACCTACAATTGAATAAATACTCCTTCAGGCTACATTTGCTTCCAAATGAATAGCGACTTACACTTGCAGAAATCTAGGAGTTCCTAGGTAAAAGAGATGGAAATCTCCACTTACAAGGGCACAAAGGTCCAATCCATTGCAAGCTGGTAGATGTCATATGATGCTCGGCACCTAAAGTGAACTGTAATGCACGTACAATGCACGAGCTTTTGTGTTCTACAGGAAAACCCAGCATAAAACCTCTAAATCCTGATCGTCATGAGATGAGAAAATAGGAACCTAAACCCCTAGATTCAAGGGTTCAAGAAACTTGTGGAGGTGTTGACAAAAAGAACATAACTATATATATATATATATATATATATATAGGTAGAGAGAGAGAGAGAGAGAGAGAGAGAGAGTCAGACAGACGCACCAAGCTCTGTATTGTAAGTTCTCCATGTAAAATCCTCTTAGAGATTGCTTTTGCACTAGAAGCCTGGGCCCTAGCCTGCGAAATCACACACGTTAGCTCCACAGCAACTAAAACCCTCTCCACTCTCCAAAACCCGAGCCCTCAATGAATGTGGAAGAAAGCGTCATTGATTGGATCGGACTACTCAGGGGCACCAGAAACCCTCACATACACATTCCAATACTACTACAGCAATTCCCTTAGAATTGCACCAGAAAATTGCTCTCCGCTTCCTACACTTGGCGATCCAATGCAAAGACGCCGCAAACACAAAATCAGCCCAAATTCAAACCTTAGGTCAAAAAATTCCTGATAACAAACACCCGCCCCCCGAGGCAGCACTTCACATGAAGAAAATCAGCACAAGTGACACTCACTACCACCTGAGCATCACAGTTTGGTACTCAGCAACAACTTGTCCGATTCGGATGCAACAAAACGTAAAATTCTTCACACCTTGAGACAAATCCCACAAATGAACCACAACCAAAAACATGTTTTTTTCTTTTCCTTTCTTTTTTTTTCTTTTTTTCTTTGTTTTCTGTAGTGTCAGCAGCGGATTGATTGTGTCACCTGTTCAGCAGGGGACTTTTCTGTGGTAACAAAGGATTCGATGAGCGATTCAAGGGTACTTGGTTGAGCCATCATCCCCGCAGCAGCACCAAGCGAATCCTCCTCCTCCTCCGTCCTACCAAAACCCAGCTACAATTCCAATTCCAAAGCAATGGCAGTTCTATTCTATTCTGTTCTGTTCTATTGTATCACCATGGCCTCTCTCTCAAAAGCTCTACAAGACACAACCAAACATGGAAGAGGAAGAAAGGGATTTCAACTCTCTCATCAACAATCAACAAACAATTCACTTAAAAACAACAACTCTGCTTGGGTGTGTGTTTAGGAAGGAGGCGGAGCCTTTAGGGAACAACGCCCACACATAACCTCACTCTCTCTATTTCTCTATTTTGTTTTGTGGGTTTAAGTGGGTTTGGGTTTTGTTGATGAACCCAACTCAAACATAGGAGAGTGAGATTAGAAAAAGTTATAATCGGTAGGAAGGATTATTATTTGAGAAATTGGGTGTTAGTGATAGTTAGTCAGTGTAGCAACTATTTGAAAATATGGCATGTTTGAACGACAAGATAGAATTTCGAAAAAAAAAATGGACGATTGTGTTAATTTAAGTGATAGGGTAAGGTTAGAAAGGTGATATTAGTTTTGATTGATATCATTTCTTGCTTTTGATTTTAAATTATTAGTAGGTGGAATTAATTTTATAGTAAGATCAAATCTTTTGTTCATTGAGAATGTAACTTGTTTATTTGATTGGTGTTTTTTATTTCATGTTGGATTATGTTGGTTTTTTGGGAGATCTATTGATGGTGCTTTTATTGTTTATGTCTACAATTGAATGAATAGAACAATTGATTTAAATACCATGGGATGGTTTTTACAAAAAGTAAATAGAATTTACTTTTTTTATTTTGTAATCATAAAAACAAAACAAAATAAAATAAAAATGTTTCCATGAAGATTGTTCTTGAATGTTAAAAATATATATTTTTTAAATCATAGAGATTCTTTTTTAGATTAAGTGAAAATCCAATGTAAGGATTTAGGCCATTATTTGGTGACATGAAACAAGAAAGATTCTAAGATAGAAAACCCCAAGTGAATCAATATTATTTATATATATATATATTCAAAGAGAAAGTGATTTTATCAATAGAAGAGAATTTAATTCTACCAAATACTAGAAATAAATCCTCAAATATTCTAAAATCTATGAATTAAGTATACAATCATAACAAATTAATTTTCAATCAATATTTATTGAAATGCATAATTAATTTATATAGGAAGTTATGGGAGAAACTTTGCCAAAGAAAGAGGTACATCCATGTGAAGAGCAAAGAAGTCATTGATCTAAGAAGTAGATTAATTAGATTATTCTACAATAATAGGATGTGATCCCAAAAAATAAAGAATAGAGTTATCAAGTAATTGGAATAAAAGTGCGTTTAAATTATACTTGATATTTTAAAAATATGTATATAATAAGCTAATTTTTTTAAATTAATATATACATCTAACTTAAAATACAATTCTAACTTGTATAAGATTAATTTTTTTTATTTCTTTTAATACATTTGATTATTTGGTGGTGTATATGAAAAAAACATTTTACAACAGCTTTAACTGAAAATTATGATTCTAACTTTTGAAAGGTACATCTTAAACAACATTATTATTTTTTTCATTATGTGTTATGCCATCTAAAAGTTTTGTAAATTGCAGAAATAAAATCAGACTTAAACATCTACCTTTAAACATACAAAAAGAATCTAAACTCTTAATTTTTATGGATTCTCTACACATAATAATAAAGATAACTATTCATTATTATAATATAAGGTGTATTTTTTTGGAAGGTTCTAATGATGAAAGAGCTAATTTGTAAAAACCTTTTTTTGATATTAGTGAACCTAGCCAACATTTATTTTCTATTATAAAAGAAAACTCATCATAGTATAATAATGAATATATATATATATATATATATTCTCTATTTGAATAGTTATATATTCACTATTTGAATAGTTATATATTCACTATTTTATATTCTATATATATATATATATATATATATATATCAATATTTGATTTTAAAGAGACTTAGATGCCAACAATTTTGGTATCTTATATATCCTAATAAAAAAAAATACAAACATTTATTATTAAACACAAGTGGCAAAAAAAAATTAAGATTATTTTTTTTTTAAATGTAATATTTGCATTGTTTTTAAAACAAAAAGAAATGATCATAAATCAATAGTTTTAAAAGATACTTGTTGTTATTGTTTTCTTCTTCTTATATTTATAATCACAAGCACCAATTAATTTCAAATTTAAGAAATTTAAGAAATTTATTGAAGAAACAAAATTTTGATGTTGAAATAATGTATTCATTACTAGGGATTCAAATATCATTATTCCACCAATATATTATCAAGTTGCATTTGTTTGTGTTCAAGTGAAGACAAGAAACATTATAAGATAATTGCATCTATTAGAGAGGCAAAAGATAGTAAGTTACATAACCATTACTTTAACAATTTTCCATAATAATATTATTTTTACAACTACTTTCAATTGCATCATAAAAAAAAAAAAATTGGAAATTTTCACCTAGCATATAATATGAATATTTCTTCTAATTTCCAACTTCTTCAAACCCTAATGTTGGTGCACACTCACACAATGAGATTATTTAGACTTTAGGTCCTTTTCATTCTGCACCTTCTCAATTTGAACTGCTCAAGCAATGAGTTGGGCATGGTCTATCAAAAATATTTACATATATACACACTCACATATCTATATATATATATATATATATCTATTTAGATCTGCCAAGTCTTTCTTCATTTGGATGAATATCGATTTCCCATTTTTATTCTCCCTAATCTCCAACCTAGAGGTTGATTCTTAACAGCCAAAACTGAGAGGGTTCAGAAGGTCCTTACGTTCCACAAGAATACTCAAAACATTTCAAATGATCAAAGGTCAGGCGATATGTTTTTTTTGTTTTTATTTTATTTTATTTTATTTTATTATTATTTTTTTTTTGCTCACACTTCAGGTACCAAATCTCAGCATCGACATTGTATTTTCACAGGGCAAACCATCAATCGTTGTGCAGACTGATTCGACCCAATGCACTTGTGTATACATGCTGATTATTCGGCACAGAATGATCTTCATGAAATACAAATTGGGTTTCAGTACAGAGAAAGACTGAAGAAACTCAAGGCTTCGGCCAGTAAGTCCAAGGAAAAGGGGTCCATTTGACACTCGCTGTTCATGATCACGAGAAGAATGTCCAGCACGGTTCTATTCGGTCCAACAATTATTCAATAACGTTTGGTTCAATCCTGATTTCTAGTCAAGGGAATCAGCGGCAGACCAAGCACATGGGCTGCTGCGACCTACATTCACCACCGACTTTCTCATTATTTACACAAATCACGCAATACTAGCACCAGGTACATGTAAAAAAAATGAACGAAAAGTGAATTGCATGCAGATAAGACAGAGAGTGGGAAGACTTTCACATCTTTGCATAATAGCACTAGTGACTTGTGTGTCATGACATCGAAGTCATTAAAGAGAAAGAGCTGATAGATGACCATCAATTACATCTTGGAATAAAATTTTAAACTATTACAAAAGGGGCAAAAAAACAACCCAATCTTGTTCTAAAATAGCAAACAAACGGGGCCATACTCCAGAAAGATTTAACGCTTGGAGTACTGTGGTGCCTTACGAGCCTTCCTGAGACCGTATTTCTTCCTCTCTACAACACGCGAGTCTCTCGTCTACAAACCCTGTTTTTTCAACGGATCTCTGTTGGCCTGGTTGGCCACAATCAAAGCTCTCGCTACTCCCAGCAAGATGGCCTGAGCTTGAGCTGATAAGCCCCCACCTTCAACCCTCACTATGATGTCGTACTTGGTCTCATACCCTAGACTGGCTAGCGGGTACTTCACAGACTGAAGCCACAATGGGTTGCCTTGTAGGTAGTCCTGTGGAACATACAATGCATTCCATGGATGCTTCAATCTCTAAACCCAATGCGGAATGATTACACCAAAAGACGATAACCCATGTCCAGTTCTAACCTTCCAAGAGGAAGCTGAGTCAAACATTCAGAGCCTAACTAGTTTTTAAATACCACATATATTAGCATCAGAAAAGCCTCACTATCTGCCATGGAAAAACCAACAGAGACTACCATGGTGTGAAAAATGAACCCACTGGTTATGCAACACTACCACAGAGTTTTGACCTGATTTCGGAAATTCAACCCACATTACAATGCCAGCAAGTCTATCACCAAACCCCAAGCCCAAGTGAAGCAGAAAGAGATATCAAGGAAAGACGGGAAGAGTTCAAACCTGAGCAGTGCGGTTATTGATAACAATCTTCCCTGAGCCCTCAACAAGCACAACTCGCGCAACGGCGGTCTTTCTCCTCCCGGTACCATTCAATCGCGCGGCGGCGAATCCGCCCGGCAATTGCTGCTTCACCCAGGCCTCCAGGGCACGCCTCTCTTCCATCTCGGGGCTCTCGACCACAGCGGCAGCGGCCTCGGAAGTGGAAGCTCTGACGACGGGCAACGCCACCACAGACCTACGCGGCATGGGCACGCCGGCCTTCAACGCATTGCAACGCAGCACGCTCCCGCAAGTCGAAGATGAGATAGACGCCAATTTCTTCCGCGGCTCCTGCACTGAGAGCGAGGCAAAGTGGGTGGAGAGCCCCAGCGCTTGGCTCGCTGCCATGGCTGCCATTGCTACCAACACAACACACACAAATCCCTCCCGAAATCGCCACAAATTTGCTCCCGCAGCAACGGCAGCTCGCGAGCTATAGAGGAGGATTGAGGAGGAGCGAGGAAGCTCTCATCACATCGTGAGGGGGGCTCCCTCACTCCCTTCCCTTGGATAAGCCTCGGACAGAGCACTACATTCATCCTTTTCATTCATATGTCGATCTTTTTCTTTTTGTCATCCGCTTGTGATCCTTTTTTCTGTGTCCTTTCTCGGGCAACGAACGAACGATCGATCGAACGAACGTCGATGTGGTTTCGTTCGTTCGTTCGTCTTCTGACAGTTTTCGTCGCTTGTGTCTGTTTCGGCGAACTTTCCGAGGTTTCTGTGATTTTTGTGTAATTTTCACTTTTTTAAAAAATATATATTTGTGTGTTTTTTTTTTGTAGTTCGGTTGGGATTTGCTCATGGACGTTTTTGGGTTTAGGGTTTAGGGTATCCTTAGAATACATGCCTTTTTTCTTTTTCTTTTTCTTTTTAATTCTTATTTTTTGAATTTTTGAATTTACGGAGGATGATAACAAAGACCAATGTTTGGTTATTTTCTTCCTCTGAAGGACAATTATAAATTTTGAATTATCTGTGAAGACGTTTTATCTGAGTGTAAAGAAAGTTTTTTATTACATGATATGATGAATGATTAATTCTAAAATGTTTCATCTTTTATCATTTCTTGCTTTGCCTTAATGAAGCTTGCCCATTGTAGAAAGTAACGATATTATCTCAGATAATGAATTTACAATGGATTAATATTCAAGTTTACTTGCTTCACAACCAAAGAATTTTTCATTAATGTGGGTGAAAGTGGGAAGGGGAGTGTGGGTTGTTTCTCCTATAAAGAGTTGGACAAATAATTTAATTGTAGCTCAATTATTAGTCTTCTGGTAGAAAACAATATCTCTACTATATTGCTACAATTGTGTGTACATTAAGAAGTAGTAAATGAGAAAAAAAATGTGTTATCAAATCAATACTTAGATAAATAGGGAACTAACAACATAGTGCCAACATATAATATACTAAGGGATATAACTAGTTAGAATAGAAAAATAAAGAAAATTAAAGAGTAAATAATGAAAAAATAAATAAATAGATGAAACATAATTAGAAAATAATATTATTATATGTACATAGAGTCACATTTGGCTATTTTTAGTCTTATATTAACTATAAAATTAGTACTTTGTAGGAAACATTCTTTACTAAAACCAAATATGTTTTTGATGTATATATTAATATTTTTTTAATGACTTCCATTGGTTTTCTTGAAAGATTTATTAGATAACATCTTCTTGGTTTGTTCCCTACAAATGTCTTCAAGTAATATACTTACCATCTTCCATAGAAGCTTTGCAAAGAATTAAACAATTTATCTACATAAAAAAATAAAAATTCTCCTCATAGTTTAAACACGATCCATAAAGATTCAAACATACCATCATAATTTGTTGTTTGATTTGCATTTGCTATATATGTGTGTGTATATATATATATATATATATATATATACACTTTATCATGGTATATTAGAATTTTTAAGAAAAGAATATTGAATAAAAATATCTTTGCCAAATAAAACATTTATTTAAAACAATGATACTATGAAAAGTAGTGAAAATAATAAAAATAAGGTTATAAATTGATAAATAAGTGTTTATCTATATTAAAAATAACTACATCAATAACTCAAACAATATTATTTATAGCTAACATGGAGTACATATATACCTAGCAAAATCTAAGGTAATCAAAGAGATAATTTTTCTACAATTACTTTCAAGTCTTTTTTAATGTTGTCATTATAACCAACTAACTTTATCTATGCTTGTATTGCAATGCACTTCTCTAGACTTATAATCTTTGTCTGAATATCTATTTTCAATTCTATCTTAATTATATTACTTGTACTTAATGATCTTAACAACTAATAAAATATATATTGATTATGCAGTCTTGATTGATTAAGGAAGTTATTTATTTTATACCAAGTTTTAAATGGTCACTATGTTGTTTCTACCTTGATAGCTGCAGTTTAGATGAAAATTCAATAAATAATTGTACAAATTAAAAAATTGGATGCATGTAGAGGTAAAATAAATCAAAATTAGAAACAATAAATGAATATCTAAGTAATTTAGTTATGTCTCTCTCTCTACATATATATAATTATAATTATAATCTTATTAATACTATATTAACAAATAAAATGACAATAGACCAAATTGAGAGATTGTGGTATTTATTAAAGAAATGACTTCCATTAACTTTAAGTTAATTTTATGTATAAATTAAATTAGATGCTTAATTTTATAAATAAATATAATTTACATGTTTATAATTTTTATTAAAAATAAATCTACAAACTTGTGACTATGTCATATGATTGATGGTATTATATGTAACATAAAATTACAATAACATATTTTATTGTAATTGTTTTAAATGTATCAATTTCTTAGTATATGACAGATTGTGATCTTTACCAATAATTACACCTATATATTACTATTCTTATAGACTTAATTTGATATTTGAAAAAACATTAAGATAAGTTATGGTTTGAAGTTTATAATTCTTTCAGTATAATTTTATTGACAAAAATTTATATAATATGTTTTAATTTAATAAATTCTAATTTTTAAAATAAAATCTTGTATAATATTACATAAATTATATCAATTTCGATCATTTTTATTTTACTCAACTTTTTTTAAAATTATTGTTTTTTTTCCTTCTAATAACATAATATTTATATAAATTCATTACTTTTAGAATTCAGTCATGAAACACACGAAGAGCATATAGTAGACATAAAATTATACCAATTTTTCAACAAGTATTGTTAAAATTTCAAAGCGGAATATATCACGGCTAGTATTTGCTATTAAGATAAGAAAAAAACCAAAAAAAAAAAAAAAAAAAAAAAAAAAAAAACACACATACACTTATATTTGGCAATAAAATTTAGCCATAAAATATAATGAATACAGTTATTTTTTGGGTCCACAAAATTTTCAGCCAAAGTTAATATAAATTTCATTAATAAAAACACTGGTGTGAATTTGAAAAAATAAATTCTGATCTGCTGATATACAATAGGAAAATTAAAGTTTTCTTATTATTATTTTTTTCTTTATTTAAATGCTATATATTACTGCTTTATCTAGCAAATTTCAACTTCCTTTCGTAAAAACATGGCAACCACAAAATATTCGATCTATGATTTTTAAAGTAATGCTTGTTAAGTTATTATGAATTAATAAAAATTAAAATGCTTTAAATGTCTCTAAAGAATTTTAAGACATTTTAAGTCATTTTAAGTCATTTAAAAATCTTTAAATGTCATAAAAATTAAAATGCTTTAAATATTTAAAAATCTTTAAATAGAATAAAATAGTAGTTACAAAAGAAAAACTACTTGGATTTTGTTTAAGTAAAAGATAACTCTTATTTTAATTATGTATTATTATAGAATATTTGTGTTTGTTTACTATTAGAATTCTTTTATTTGAGTTGGGTCAAAGACCATCCAAGTAGCATTTATAGACTAACAGACAAAGTTTGGATAAAGAGACTAGTTAGTAATACAGATATGAAATTGGTTTTAATAAAATTGTACATAAAATATAAATACATATCCTTAAATGAAAAAGTTAAAAATGAAATTATATTTTAAAAGTATTATCTATATATATATATATATATATATACACACACATTGTAGTGATTATATGCATATGGATCTATAGTTGTCTCAGCTCTTAATCTAATATTTTGATTCGAAGTTTTAGTTTTTTAACTATAAATATAATTATGTTTGTTTTAAAAAGATGGTAAAGGTTTTCTTATTTAATTAAATAAAAATTACACTTATTTGGTAGCTATATTTATTATTAAAGATAAAATATTTTTTATTATTATATAAAACTATTTACATATATAATTAATACAATATCATAAAATTTTAGTTTTTAAAAAATGTACATATTGAATATTTAATAAAACAAGTAGAAATAGAGGTATAGATGTAAACTTTTTGTAGTAAATTTAGGTTGTCTAAATCAATATATAAATACAATCCTATATTTTGACAAAGCACATTTTAATAATTAAAAAAATAGTATATTTAGTTCTAGATAGAAATAGTTTTCTTATTAGAATTCTTTTTGGAAAAAACCAGCTCTTGAGAGAAAACAAACAAAATTGTTAAAATTATCAACTAAGATGATATATGATTGAGAATATGTTGATCAAATTCAATAATTCTAATTTCACACACACAAAATAAATAAATATATATATATATATATATTTAGAATTATATATTATAAGATGCCTTTTTATAATTCGGACTATTAAATCTTAATTTGAATATGATATTAATATATTAATTTTATTATTTTTTATTCTTAAAAAAACCTATTCATTAATTTTTAAAAAATACTATAACTTAGTACTAAAATTGACATTTATATCTTTTTTAAGGAGACAATAAATATGTTTTGTACATAATTCCACTCATATGGATAGTCACATTCTACAATGTACAATAATCATTCAAATGCAATTGATTAGCCATTTAAAAGTCAAAAACAAATATATGTATCTATCTATATATATAAATGACATGGTTGTAACATTACAACCTTCTACATGTAGTTACATTTTCTTTGGACTTTAGGATAATAAAATATTGTGAAACAATATCTTGTTTATTTATATGACATTAATAGGCTTATAGAGATCTAATGATGACATTGCAGTGCTATAATTAAAATACATTAGTCAAAGTTATTTTATCATAAAAATCCCATAAAATAGTGATAGAGAAAATAATCATAAATTTCACAAAATTATTAGTAACCTAAACATTACCACAAAATAATAATAATAATAATAATAATAGGGAGAATCCAAGTTGTGGTAATCAATTAGAATCTCTGGTATTACCAGTGAACATATGCATATGATCGTTGCTAATAGTAATAAAATGAAAATACCTTGCCACTCCAAATTTCTATAGATTTCTTTCTAAATAACTCTAATATTATTATAATCAGCATAGAAAAAGCTT